CCAGTGTGTTGTGTGGTATCAAAACCAGGACCTCATGCATACTCTAATCCCGCACCTCATCCCTAGCTCTTGCCTTGGTTTCTCTGTCCACAACTGTGTCTCCAAGTGCACTGTCTGCTGATCTGGCCTCTTTGAAACACTGTCCGTAGGTTGGGAGGTATGTGCAGCACTAGTAATTACATTAAACTTCTAAAGGGCTACTGTTTTTTCAGGGAGTTATTGGAGGTTGAAAAGTTAAGTAACTTGTCTCATTTTCTACTGCAGTTTTTAGTCAGTGAAGTATAACATGGAAGCTCTACTCCTCAAGTCCATAAAATGATGACATTTTGTATTACTAGTCCCTGTTGTGTAAGATCTAGTGATTTGTTTTTGAACCAGAAATTTTTGAGGCCTTTGAGACTTTTATGACTTTTCAGCTGCCTCAATCTTAATTTCTCAGCAGGGAACTCACATCTCAGTGAATAACTGAGCTTCTTTGGGGTAATAAAATATTTTTTCTGGCAGTCTCATTTTGCTGCTACTAATGCTGTGTTTAGAGGTTGAAAACAGTTAATATTCAAGTAAAGTGCCACAGTGGTTTTTTATTTGCTTTTTTTTTTTGAGACAGGATCTTACTGTATAGCCTAGGCTCTCCCCAAACACATGATCCTTCTGTCTCATCCTCCTACGTAGTGGGATCACAGTCATTTACCACCACACTCAGCTGTATTTCTGTTGTCAGAACCCATGAAGTATGGTCTGAAATGAGAAAATAATGTTTATACATGTAAAATAGAAATCTGTAAAGGGTGAATAACTTTTAGAAATGGACTTTGTGTCTAAGGATAGCAGTGTAAGTAGTGTAGCTTATGTTTGTTGTATCTAACTTGAGTGTGTTTAAATGATTATAAAGTGTTTGGGTTGGGTTACTATAATATAAGCTCTAAGTAGTTCACTCCTTTATGTGTTTACCATGAGCACCCCTCTCTCTTCAGCTCTTGGTGTTAGAGGTTAGACCCAGGGTTAGGTCCCTGCCTGGCTAGTATACATACCACTGAGCTGCACCCTCAGCCTCCTCATTTATCTTTTTTTTGATACTGAGAATCAGACTTAGGACCTTACACTTGCCAGGCAAGCACTGTGCCTCTGAGCTATGTCTATGGCCCTGTATTTATCTTATTGATACATTTTTATGGTGCTTAGATAAGGCTATAAGTATGTGAAGTTAGTGTCTTATAAACACAATTTTGTAGTTCATTAACTATTATATAAGATTTATGCGTATCTTTTTTGTGCACTCTGAAAATTCTACCTAGGGACTTTTTCCTGTTGGTATCCTGACTCACCAAAAATTTCCCCTGATTTTTTTAAGGTTTTATAAAATGCTATGAACTGAGCATGATGGTACATGCCTGTAATCCTAGCACCTGGGAGGCTAAGGCAGGAGGATTGTTGCAAGTTTGAGGCCAGCCTGGTCTACATAGTGAGACCCTATCTAAAAAAAAAAAAAAAAAAAAAAAAAAAGATTGTATCATTATTGTAACTGATAGTGTTATACTTTAAAATTTAATCTCGTGTAGAAAGAAATGTATTTTTTTTCAAAATTTTATTGATAAACAGCAATGAGACAGTTTCAAATCAAATTGGAAGTACAGTTTCAACAAATAACACAATGCATATATTCTTAGTGGTTAATTGCTGTACAAGATGCAGACTTGAGATCCTATTTACAAACACCATTAGAACAAATCATTCTATTCATTAAGAGAATGCAACTATATATCTATCCTAACCACTTTGAATACACAGATACAAAATGGACATTCATCTGTATACCCCATTTTTTCGAAGTTCCGTTATTGAATATTATAGGTGTGTAAACTCAGCAAAATATTCTAAAAGAGTCCAGTAGCCCATAATAGCATTGGGTCTTCTGTTTAACTGGCAATGTCAGAAATTATTGACCTGAGTCCCCTACAGCTCAACATAACAGCATGGCTTTACTTCCTATATTTCATCGTCATACTTTTCTACTGGATGGTTAAGACCAAGATAAAGCAGGACCTGTGCAATAAGAGTTGTAGCTTTTTGGTCTGAGAAGGTCAGTGAAATGCCCTCAGGATTTGTCCTGAGATCCTGTACCTCAGATTGTAGAACCTTTGTCAGTGCAGCCATGTGGATGAGTCATGGCCATTGCTTGGCCAATGTGCTCTCTGTGAAAGCCTGAGAGAGTGTTTTCTCCCCATGTGACTCTCCTTAGGCACACTCTACGTCATCGATCACTTTCCTCTCTGGCCCCATAATCTTCTTGATCAGAAAATTTGGGACACTACCGAGTTACATGACATTACAGTACAAGTTCTCATATGTCCTGAGTCTTACTTGACCTTAGAAGATTAGGGCCAAAATGTTGGCTTTCCTTGTAGCACTCCTTTTTCTCTAATTTTGGTCTGCAAACTTAGGTTGTTAGCCATCCAGAAGACAAGCTTATTATCAAACGACTTAGGCTATTAAGCTTAACCTCACTATCTCACTGCATTTCAAACATCTTAGGCATAATAAGGAGCAGGTATTTTTCATCAAGTATTGATATGTTGAACTTTAAGTCCCTGCATAATATGATAAAAACATTTAAAAATTAGATTATATTTTAACATAGGATAAAGAATTATATACTTCTTTTCCCATTTTTTTTTTTTTTGCAGAACCAGGGATTGAACTCAAGTCTTTGCACTTGCCAGGGAAGTGCTTTTTCCACTGAGCCATCTCCCCAGCCCCTAAGAATTCTATACTTCTCATGTTTGCACATAAGTCCAAAAATCTCACCATATACAACCTTGAAGCAGGACCCTCCCACAATATTCCTTTTCCTGTCTCTTGCTTTCATTCACCATCCCCTTCTTGAACATCCACCTACCCGAGAGACATCATAGCAGTAAATGGCATGTCATGACAAGCCGCCCGTATTCAGACTACCAGAATGACAGGCCCTCCAAATATGAAACTACTGTTACAAATTACCATCTGCAGTGCAGTAGCTTAGTTCACAGGTATCAGTATATATAGTTAGTCAGGGTGAGAATCTTTCCAATTAACTGCTAGATTCAAAAATCTTCTGAATATTCTCAGGATCATTGCCTTGCTCATCTTTTACATATAACTGTATGGCTTGACATTATCATGTTTCCTAGCTCTTCTCCTTTCCCTCTCTTGATTAGTTAGTCCTTGAGATCCTGCTTTCCTTTAACTTGTATTATATCTTTCTATTTGTATTTCTTCTTTTGAGTTCTTATACTAGGGAGACTGAAAGAAATATATTAAACAAAATTCTAAATATCTCTCCCTTCAAAAACAAGAGGCTATGATTTCTTAAGTTATTAATATTTTTCTGCCCTCCTCAATGTGCAATCACTTCGGTGTGGAATAGAATAAATTCATTAATAAAAGACTAATGTCATTATTTATTTTCTCTAAGCTGGTACTACCACAATGAGCCTATTCATTATATATCACAAACATTTGCTACTAAAAACAAATTTAAAACCCAGTACTAACATACTTGGCATGTTCTGCATGTGGAGACTTTGACTTCATATATAGCTGTTCCTCTTGACCCTCTTATTTTATTTAATTTTCTAGGTTCGCCACCGTGCTTCGGGTCAAGTGATGGCTCTGAAGATGAACACGCTGAGCAGCAACCGGGCAAACATGCTGAAGGAGGTGCAGCTCATGAATAGGCTGTCCCATCCCAACATCCTCAGGTAATGGGGCAAAGCTGGGATGTCACTGAAGCCTCGGGCAGCTAGACAGAGAATCCTGCTTGATCTTGCTGAATATTTTGCTGGGGTTTAACTATGGTCTAGGTCTTTCTTTCCATTGACACTTAATTTCCAAGTAATTAACTGGATTTAATAAGGCAACTTCCTCTGGTACTCAAGTTGCTTTATTCTCATTAGCACGATGGCAACAGCTCATTAGAGTAGCTGCTTCCTAGTGCTGATTAGTAATTTATCAAGATGAAAAGACTGGTCTTTATGTGGTTATTTTATTGTCCTAATTGTTTTATGAGGAGTTATAATTAAATCAATGAAAATAAAAGCAAAATTATGCCTTCAATCTGTCTACACTAAACTTTTAGCACTCACTTGAAACAGTTTGCTTTTGAGAATTATTTTTATATATAATTATCACTTTCTAGAAATCTGTATCTGAGTAGTTTTTACTTTAATTAGCTTGATTTTTGGTGAATTTCCAAATGAGGGCTAAATGAGGTTTAAATAAAACAGTTTAATTCAATATATGTTTAATTAGGACTTACATGTAAGAGGTTTTGAAATGATATAGGAACAATTCACTTAGGGCCCTCGATTGTGGTAACATGGATTTTTTTTTTTTTTTTTTTTTTTTTTTTTTTTTTGTGGTACCCGGGATTGAACTCAGGACCTTGCATTTGCCAAGTAGGCACTTAATACCACTGAGCTATATCCTGGCCCCTATTGCTAATATTTTTATACACATATATTGGACTCAAGAGTGATCATGTAGCTGAAGTATGGCTTGTCAGTGATAAATTATTAAATTAAATTATGGGCCGGGGAGATAATTCAGTGGCATAAGCAACTGCCTGGCAAGTGCAAGTTCCTGAGTTCAGTCCCTGGTACTGAAAAAAAAATTTTTTTTAATTGTTTACCAGAAACTTTCTGTGTTTATACAGAATCATTAGTTTCCTAGTCTACTACAAAAATCTAGCTAATATGTTTATTCTGATGATTTTCATTTAAATCCATAGTTTAGATTAGCACATTTTTCTTTGAGCATGTAGTATAGTGAAGTGTTAGAGAACAGAAAGGTGTATGGGCTTATATAAAACAGAGTGGCTGCTACCAAGAAATTTGCACTCTACCTGGGAATCTAGGACTTACACCCATGTAATGGAGACTAGGACACTACTATTTGGTAAAATGAACTTTGAGTGCTGAGGAGGTTCAGAAGGTAAGAGGCCATATTGACTGGACAAAGTCAAAGAACATTTGTTAGAGGAGAGAACTTGAACTACACTTCGAATTTTAATAGCCTTTGAGAAGATGGGGAAGAAGTTTCAAAAGGAACAAAATAGTGACATATAAAGCGTGTGTGTGTATGTGAGTGTGTGTGTGTGTGTGTGTGTGTAAAATTAAAAAGCTTTAGGGGGAGCTAGTTAAGAAAAATCCATTTGCTAATAAATATCTTTTATTTTTATTTTGGATTTTTTATTTAAATTTTTATTTGAGGGGCCTGGGATATAGGTCAATGGCTTAAGTTCCTGCCTGGCAAGCACAAAGTCCTGAGTTCGATCCCTGGTACTGCAAGAAAAAAAAAAGTTCTTTTCTGACAGGGTCTTGGTATGTTGTTGAAGCTGTTCTTGTTTCTTTTTCTTTTCTTGTCTTGTCTCTTTGAGACAGAGTCTTATTATGTAGTTCAGGTTGGTGTTGAACTCACTTTGGAGCCCAGGCTGGCCTCAGACTTGTGGCTATCCCAGTCAGGCACTTATGTTTTTCTTTTCTCTCTCTCTCTCTTTTTTTTTTTTTTTTTTTTTTCTTTGTGGTACTGGGGATCGAACTCAGGACCTTGAGCATGCCAGTGAGGTGCTTATGCCACTGAGCTGTCCCGCTGGCCCGAGAGATGAGGCTTTAAGTAGAGTTTGGTTGTTCCCAGGCTATTTCAGTACCTAGACATATCTGTAGCACTATGCTCAGTCGAACTTGTGGCTATCCTCCCACCTCAGCCACCTGTGTGCTAGGATTACAGGTGTGTGCCACGCACAGCCTAGCTGTTCTTGAACTGTGTAGTCCAGGCTGTTCCTCACCTTGTGGTAGATCCTCCTGTCTCAGTCTCCCAATTGCTGGGTTTAAAGGCATGTGCCCCCATGCCTGGTTGAGAAACACCACTTGTTAAGGGTTTTTGTATGCTGGTCTTTTACTTATTTAAAGATTTCATCTTCACAGTTTCTCTATTAAAGGAACTAATGCTGCAAGATTATATATTCTCCAAAATCTGTAATTCTCAGGCCTTGGTTCTTTCTACTACAACTAAGGATTTAATTAGATAGTATTGGGAGATAAATGTGGAAAGATAGCATTGTGCCAGTTCATTTAGAAATGTTTTGTGTAAAGTCAAGAAGATTATATTGTATATCCTGGGTATTGGATTCGGACCAGGGATTAGTATGAGAGGATAACTGACAGCAAGATGGGAAATGGGTTCATGTTAGGGTGACTGGTGGCCCAAAGATAGTTAGGGGTCTTCTGTCGTATTTGAGAATGAGATGGATGGGGTATAACTTGATATTCATTTTTTTCTGTTGAGAATTTTTTTTTCTTTTTTTTTTTTTCTTTTTCTTTTTTTTTTTTTTTGTGGAACCGGGGATTGAACTCAGGCCCTTGTGTTTGCCAGGGAATCACTTATTCTACTGAGCTATCTCCCCAGCCCCTCTGTTGAGAATTTTAACAATTAAATTTCCATTTAATTTAAAAATAATTTTTTTTTTCAGAACCAGGGATAGAACTCAGGCCCTTGCAAAAATAATTTTTATTATTTTATTATCACAAAGTGTGATGTGATCACTTTGGAAGTAGAAAATAATGCTAAAAACAGGCCTGGGAGATGGCTCAGTGGAATAAGCACTTCCCTGGCAAGCGCAAGGGCCTGAGTTCAATCCCCGGTTCTGCAAAAAAAGAAAAAAAGAAAATAATGCTAAAAACAAAGTTCCTTTTAGCTTTAGTACTTAGAAATAGAATTATTATTAGTATTTTGGCATATTTCCTACCAATATTTTTTATTTCACATTTCTTTATTTTCTTGTTGATTGAGTTGACAAAGGAAGATTTACTTTTATTTATTTATTTTTTTTGGCGGAACCAGGGATTGAACTCAGACCCTTGCACTTGCCAGGGAAGCGCTTATTCCACTGAGCTATCTCACTAAATTTATTGAGACATCATGAGATTAATACAAATTAACTTTGGCCCCTACAGTTATAAAGGGTGCTCAAAGAAGTGGCCCTTGGCTTCCAGACATTTATTAGTGTGGTGAAGTGCTGCTTGGGTAACATTGGTCATTGAGATTGCCATTGATGCATTTTCCATTTCTTCTTTAAGGACTGGCAGTATAGTGGGTTTTCTGCAGTATACAGCATCCTCTAGAGTTCCCCACATAGGGGTAATACCGCTATACTATTTTTCTTTTCTGAAGTGTGTGTACTTTTTTTTTTTTTTTTTTTGCATACTCTGTACATTGGTTCATGTATTGAACTGGACAAGAACCAAATCAAATTTCCCTATAAGGTCAACAATGAACCAAACATTTAATTTGATTTGGTTCTCATCTAATTCTGTTTGCAACCAGAATCATGGAAAGAATCGTTTGTGAGCCAAGATACTACTATGTATGTTTTTATGTTGCTAAGGGAAAAAAGACAGGAAATAAACACAGCAGAATGTTGTCAGTAGGTATGTATGCCTATATGATAAGATTACAGTGTTGGGGCCAGGGAGATGGCTCAGTAGAATAAGTGCTTCCCTGGCAAGTGCAAGGCCTGAGTTCAATTCCTGGTTCCGCAAAAAAAGAAAAAGAAAAAGAAAGGAAGGAAGGAAGGAAGGAAGGAAGGAAGGAAGAAAGAAAGAAAGAAAGAAAGAAAGAAAGAAAGAAAGAAAGAAAGAAAATTTAAAAGAAGAAAAAAAAAGGGCCAGGGAAATGGCTCAGTAGAATAAGCGCTTGCCTGGCCAGCGCAAGGGCCTGAGTTCACTCCCCGGTTCTGGAAAAAAAAAAAAAAAAGATTACAGGTGTTTTTACTTTACAAAGTTTTCTGTATTTCTCATTGTTCTTTAATGAGCTTAACTGGTTATTTTTGGCCAGGATGGGCCTTTAAACATTCTAGCGCCAAAACCTGCCCATGTGAAGCTTCCACAGCAGTGCAGATTTGTACAGAACTGCATGATTCCATCCTGTGACAGTCAGTGACCAAAGCTCGTGGTCATCACACACTGCTGCCCAGTTTCCTAGGAGGCTTTGGTGGGGAGAGGAGAATTAAGAGGAATACTTACTTATGAGGGTTTTTTTGTCTTTAACGTACTGCTGGGAATTCAACGCAGGATGTCACACGTATTCGACAAGCACTCTACCTGTGAGACTCACTCCTTGTAGTCTGCTTTAGATATTTAAAATGTTCTGGGCATAATAATACATGCCTGTCATCCTACTACTGTAAGGGCACCGAGGCAGGAAGATTGCAAGTTCAAACCCAGACTGGACAAATTAGCTATATAGTATGACCCTCTTTCAGAATTAAAAAAAAAAAAAAAAGAATAAAAAATAAAAAAACGGCTGGAGATGTGTAGCTCAGTGAAAAGGCCCTAAGTTCAGTCCCTAATAACACAAAAACAAATGCTTAAAGTCCAGCCAGGTCTGGGGATATGGAGCATTTGCATAAGGTCTAGAATCACACTTAGTAGTACTTAAAAAAAAAATTATAGGGCAATCAGCAGTGCATTGTCTGATCTAGCAAGTACACAACCTTAGATTTAATTCCTGGTATCAGAAAAGGAAATAAAAAATTATAACAAGTGTGCTTTTAGAGAGGGAATTTTAAGAATTGTTTCAAATTTTAAGATTTTGAAACTTAAACGTACACTGTTTCTAGATGACTTATTTCTCATCCCCAGATTAGTCTTATCTAGACACCTGTTGCCATCTTTTATTTTCTATAATCCTAATATGTTTTCTG